TGACTGCCTCGGGCCTCCCAAGGGTCGAAAACACACTGCACTCCTGCACCAGCCCCACCTCTGGCTCTGGCTGAGGTCACTGCACAGGGACAAGCAGGATTTTCAAGCAGCTACATGCTGCCCCTCAGCCAGAAACACACACACACACACATACACACACACACACACCATTCCTTATTAGGAAATCTGCATCAGCCCTCTGCTTTGTTCGTCTTGGAGTGCTTGGACCAGTGGCAGCAGGCATGATACTCCAGGAATCTCAGGTATGCATGATCCCAGGAGGGCTGGTGGCGGTCATGCGTGGCTCCCCTTCAAGTCAATGGGGATCTCTTGCAGGCTGAGCCCCCACAGCACACTGCCTCATTTCCTCTCCTCCAGTGATGCTGCTACATGGGTGGCCTGAGCATCAGGGTTCCTGGGCCAGGGTATATCTTCCTGACCAAGGAGCCTGATTCACCAGGGACAGAGAGGAACCTGCAAGCTGGAGCCCTGGCCCGGGCAGTGTCTGGGCTACTTCCCACTTCCACAATCCCAAGTGGTTTCCATTCTGCCATCTCTGCGTGCTTTGACAAACATTGCTGTGCTCCTACCAGGCTCGGTCTTGGCCTATTGCAAAACAAAGAAGCAAGACAAACCCACGCACACCCTCCATAAATGAGTCGAATGTCTGTCCATCTGGAAATGGAGGTGGACTGCCAGTGTGAGAGAGGAACAGGCAGGTGACACAACCCTGGCTTGTTTTCCTACTCGCCTGGGGCTTGCCATGGGTCGTGGACACAGCTGCCTAGAAGGCTGGGCACCCCCCTCAACACTTGGGACCAACCACGAACCCACAGCCTTCCCCTCCAGGTCCCTTAGGACAGCTGGAACCTGTAAATAGAAGTCTCCAGAAGGCTCAGAAGGCACTTCAGTTATCCAGCCTCCTGTGAGCTTTCCCTGTGCTGTCCCCCCAGACAGGGTCTCCCAGACCCCAGGATGCTAAATGTCACTTCCCCAGAGACTTGGACTCAATGGATATGCAAATTTAACATCCTCAGCAATTATCACAGGCCACTCCTACCATCATGGAAGTTTGGGAAACCCTGCCAGCTATCTCCACCTAAGAGAGGTCCCCAGCCCTGAGTACTGCCCATGCAGCTCCATGCAGACCCAGAGGCCATCCACACCTTCTCTGCACTAGTTTGTGTCTCCCCTGCCACTCCTTTGCTGAGACCCACCCTGGAGTCCTCTGAACAGTATCCTCTGAAGAGGAAGCCCCTTAGGGGTTCCATACAACATCCACGTGAGCAGGCCAACAACTGCACCCACAGAGGAGGTCAGGGAGCCCCCATCTCTAGCCCCACTCCAAACCTCAGGTGGAAAATGGGTGAATATCTGCCTGCCTGCTCTCTGCTTGAACTGTCTTAACACCTATGTTCCTCAGCTGCCCTGTTGCTCTGTCACTCATATGTGGACAAAGAACCACCCAAACGGCCTTCCTAGTCACAAATGTTTTAGCTTCCACAGGGTCAGTTGAGTTGATCCACTTACCTGATGCCAGGGGAGGACAAAGAATTCACAAGAAAGCGTTTCCATAGTGAGCTCAGCAGCATGATGGTACTTCCTCCCATGTGTGGGTCACCCCACCTAAATTTACAGACCTCCTTATTGTTTTATATAAGGTAGGAGACATCAGACCTCCCAACACCAGAAAAGGAGAATCTGGAATAAGATCTGTGTATTAGCTTTTCATTTCTATAACAAAATACCTAAGGCAGGCTAGTTTATAAGGAAAAAAGTTTGTTTAGCTCACAGTTTTGGAGGCTAGAAGTCCAAAGAGCACAGCACAGACTTGGTAAGGCCTACTCTTGGCTAAATCACATCATGGTAGCAGCATATTTGTAGTTCTCCCTGTGTCTGTGCATCTGGTCTCTGACCTTACAAAGTCACCCCATGCAATTATGGGGCTGAACTCTAATGACCTTATTCAGCCTAACCCCATCCCAAAGGCCCCACCTGTAAATGCTATGATTGCCCTCTTAACACCATTAACGTATGACTTTAGGGACTAGAGTTGTGCATGAATCCAGAGGGACAAACCATAGCAATCTACAATTTTGCATGCTGGTGGTGATGTTTGGTGTCCAGAAGAAAACAATATCCATGAAAAGTCACTCAACATCATTAGTTATTAGGGAAACACAAGTCAAAACCACAATGCAATACTGTTTCTGATCAACTAGGATAGCTTAAATAATTTTTAATGGAAAACAAATGTGGGTGAGGATGCAAAAAAATAGGCACTCTCATACTTCGCAGGTAGAAATCTAAAATGATGCACCACAGTGGAAAATCCTGCAGAGGCTCCTCACAAAGCTAATCATAAGCTAGACTTGGTGCACAACCCTATATTCCTAGTGCTCTGGAAGACTGAGGCAAGAAGTTTGCAAAGTAGAGCGAGCCGGTGCAACTTAATCCTATCTCAAAATAAAAACTAAAACCATAAATACAAAGTTGGCTTATGCTCCACCCATACCAATGCTAAGTATAAAACACCCCCCCCCAAAAAAAAAACAGGTACTGCAACAAATACTTGCACATAAATGCTCACAGCTACACTATTCACAACAGCCAAAAGTAGGCACAATGCAATGGGTGCATAAGTGGGTAAACAACTTGTGGTACATTCACACCATGGAGTAGTCCTTGGCTCTGAAAATGAATGAAGTGCTAATGTATGCCACAACAGAGATAAACCTTGACAACATGCTAAACAAGAGACTCTAGACTTAGAAAGTCACATGCTGTATGATCTACTTACACAGACTACCCAAAATAGGTAAATCCATAGCAACACAAAGCAAATTGGTGGTTTCCGGGGGCTGCGACTGGTGGTTGGAGGGAGAGAATGGGGACTAACTGCTTCATGAGCCTGCGGGTTCATGTTCTGGCGATGAAAGTGTTTTGAAGTAGAGGTCATGGCTGGCACAATCTTGTGAACAGACCGGTCACTGAACTGTTCATGTGGCCTGGGCGGTGGCTCAGTGGAACAGTGCTTGTACATGCGTAAGGCTGTGGGTTCAATCCCCAGCACTACCCCCCAAAAGGAACGAGATGGTTAACTTTGTTACACAAATTTCGCCTCAATAAAAAAGGAAAATTAACACGTATCTAAAGCAAGTTAGAATTCACTAAGTGGGTTCTCAGAAGCCATCACCCCTGTCCAGCAGCCTGTCAGCCATTCCTTGTGCTCCTTTCACCGCCAGGGGGTTTACAAACCATGGCTTCGGTGCCCAGGAGGAAGACAGGGCAAAGAGCTGTCGAGGCAGAATTGACTCCCCCACTCAGAAGGCCAAACCCACTCCGGAGCATCGCTAACTGCCATTTAAGTTTATTAGCTGTAAAAGTAAAATACCCTGTTACACCCCAACTTTGAGCCATTGAAAAGGCTCTTCGTGACTTATGAAAACTCATAAATGTTTAAAAGTCATTCTACCTAGAAGTTTCAGCTTGGTCATTTTGAATAAATAACAGCAGAAGGAAGTAGCAGTATTCTACTCTGTTCTAATTTTAAAATGTGAATAATTAACCTTCCAGGAAAAAAAAATTTTAAGAGCAGTTCAATCCAGTAAAGCAGTTCAATCCAGCCAAGGTCCAATTTAAAAATGGACTAGGACCGCTGATATAGACAGCCATCCCTGATTCACAGTAGCAGCAATTCATGTAAAACCAGGTGCCCCTTCCACTAAACCTCTGTTGCTTTCACACCTACAGCTCTGCTCTCAGGCACTTGCGCAGAGCATAATCCTTGACTTTGGTGGGGATTTCAGTTTGTGGAAAAGGCATAAAAAACAAGGCAGTTTTCTTACACCCAACTTTGCAACCAAAAACAAAACAAAAATGCTACATAACTACAAATTTCACGTTCTAAAAATCAGTTTCTCCCAGGTAGAAATACTAACAATTAGTCGTATTTCTTAAGGTTTACATCTAGAATTAAATATATTACTGTACCCAACTGTATGAAAGCTTTTGTTTAGCAGTATTCTTTTAAGAATACAAGCCAATTGTTCAGACTGTCTTGTACCAATACTTTACTACCTAGAAGGGCAAATCCTTCCTGGACCCCTCAAGGGGAATCTAGTTGGAAAGTATCCCAAGAAAGTCCCAAGGAATTTCACTACACTACAGAGACCCCCCAGGGTATCAATATGCTTGTAACTGTCCCTGTGTACAGGGTCCCTAAAGCAAGGAGGAGGAACAGGAAAAGACAAGCAGGAGGGGAGAAGAAATTAGGACAGTACAGATGTTCCTCGCTTAACGATCTACCTATTTAATGACTATTTGGACTTAAGACCAAGGTGCACTGCTAGGACTTACAACCTGTCCTTTTTTTGTACACTTCTGTACATCTTGTTTATAGAGCCTCAGTGTCCTTTTTGTACAGTACACTTTGTTTACACAGCACTGTAAGTTTTGCTGATTGTTCCATAGAGTATTGTAGTTTTATGTTCGTTATACATTGCAGTACCCATGTAAGAGTTGTGCAAACAAAAGCAAAGGCATCGAGTTGGAGTTGTCTTTGTTCTGAATGTTGTAATGTGCACACTATCTCCAAGTCCCCATTTAGCAACCAATTCATTTACTGACGCAGTTGCAGGAACAGAACTTGGTTGTTGAATGAGGAATGTCTCTTTTCCAAAAGCCAGTAATAGTGGAGTCAGAATGTAGCAAGCTGAACAACAACTGTTTCTGTTAGCCTCTGACAGCACAAAGTAGTGACAGGAGCCTGACTTTAGAGAACAGCTGGATGGGTACAAAACCCAAGCTCATTGTGCAGAAGCTGTGTGAGAAGAATCCACCCATAAAAATAACCCTCCCTGCTTCCCCAGACTAAATGAGAAGGCAGTGCGGCACGCTAGCCAGCGGAGACAGTGCTTGTCCCCATAATCTGGAATCCAACCTGGAAGGTTGGTTACTCCTGCTGACACTGTACCAGGAAAATGGGAACACAGCCAAAGTTATCATATTTTCTTTTATTAAAAAACAAGTTAAATAAAATAGTGTCCCATGATATATATAAAACCTCACAGGAGTCCAAAATTCATGGTGCAGAAGGTACAGACAAAGGTGTGGCTGTGGTGTTCTCTTTTTCTTCATATCTCGGGGGCGATTCCAGTGAAACACGCAGCATGTGAGAGATCTCAGAAGGTGAGTGCATCCCGGAAATGGTGTAGACAAATCCGCACCCTTGCTCGCAGGCAGCGCCCTGGCTCTCAGGAGCTGAGGTCCCGCTGGAAAAAAGGACAGGGACCAAGAAGGGGAGAAGATGAAAACAGTAACACCCTTAAGCACTAGGTTCCTTTCAAAGGTTTAATGACAGGCATTTAGGAGCAGCTGCCTGGGCCTAAGGGGTAATTTCCTCCACCTTCAACTTTTTATAGATGTCTCATTCCTCACCCTTACTTTTCTTAGAGCGGATGGTAACAGTAAGACAGCCTCATGCTGGCTGTCACTCTATCACTGAAAAGGCATTAAATCAAAAGTCTAGATGCCATCCAAATAGAATGAATGTGTGTCTGTGAGTACACACACACACACACACACGCACACGCGTGCAAGCTGAGCTCCTGTCCTCTGTACAGCAGTGGCAGTTCGTTTTATGTTAGTAGACATCAATTTTAGGGTTTTGAAAACTTTGTCATTAGAGGAGAAAAAATAAAAACTTCATTACTAGAACTCTCAATGTCCCCCTTCCCCTCCACTGATGACTGCCTCACCCACTCCCTCACTACCCGCGACGTGAGTTTGTACGCCTCCTTCGTCCTCCCTGGTGCCAGTCTCCCTGCCTCATCAGATAACTGGCGCTCGACTCCTTTGCAGAAAGGGTCTCTGCACAGCTGCACCTGCTCCAGGACCTCAAGGAAAGACAGATGTGCCCTGGGCCCTGGCTCTAAGTCCCACACACCGTGGCCCGCTCTGAGGGGAGAGGGGGACAGAGAGCTCCTGGCTCCACAGGGTGCGCCCTGGAGGTAAGGAAGCGGCATACGGGCCTTAGACATGAAGAACCTGTCCCCAGAAGTGGTCACCAGGCCTGTGGATCTCACTCCTCTTGCTCTCAAAACAGCACCATTCCCTGGTCAGGAAAGCCGATCTCACTGGTCCTGCCCACCCCTGCTCCTTTGTCCTGAGACGGATCCCAGCAGTGCTTCCCTCCCATCTTCTCCCCTGGCTTCCCCTCTGGGAAGATGTCCCCAGGGCCTTCTCCAGCATTGCTTCCCCAGAGCCACATACCTGGGGCCTGCACAAGCCCTCCCCTGCCTGGCCCACCTGCCTCCCCCAACAGCCTGCACACTGGTATCCCCAACATCTCCGGCACCTCCGCTCTTTCATAAGACCCAGCCCTGTGCAGTCTCCATCTAAGGTCCCCCCTCACTGTCCCTCCACCCCCAGCCAGCCCAGCATCCTCCCAGCCTCCAGCAAGCAGGTCTTTCCCAGTTGGGCACGTCCCCACTCCCCATAGCTCACCCTGAAGAGCTCTCCTCCCTCCTCATTCTCGGCATCAGCTTGTAGGCTTTCCTCACACTGCCCCAGCCTCACAACGTCTCAGGCCTGCCCCATTTGAGCAGGGTGGGGTGTGGACCTCAGCCTTCTCCTTGGTTAATGTGCAAAGGCTCAGAAATGACTGTCGGGAGGGAGGGGACCAGCTGGGACAGGTCTGGCGTGCCCTGACTTTAGCCAGTCACTTGCGTCCTCCATTCACCAAAATTTTCTGTACCAGCTGGGGAGTCCTGAACATCCCCACAGTCTAAAGCGGTGTACCCCACCATGGCAGGGTCCCTGAGCCCGTGCTGCAGGGCTGTCTGACTGATGGGCTGTGAGACATTTTGAGGGCCACACCTGCGAGGAGTGCACAAAGACACTGGAAAAGGAGTCCTATTTCCCCAGCTTAGGGGGCTGGGGATTTAGCTTAGCGGCACAGTGCCTGCATGGCAGCGCAAGGTTGGGAGTTCGATTCCCGGTACTGGAAAAAAACTGAGGAAAAAAAAAAAAAAAACAGTGTAACCACGCTGGCATTGTTAACTTAGTCCTGCCCAAAGTTTCCTGATATGTACTGTTAATGTCAAGGCAACAATCTGAACTCACACCAGCAAACAGGATACTGAATAGCCTAATACGGATGTACCATAGCCTTACAGCTATCTGGGCCTGAGTTCAAGCTTAGACCTGAAAAGGTCACACAAGCCCACCCTGAAGTCCCAGTGGAGAGTCTTACCCATGGTTGAAAAGGCTGTCATAGGGAGGTGGGCTGTCAGCGGGAAGCAAGTTGTTGGCCCCAGAACTTAGACTGCCTGCAGATGCCGAAGACTCAGGAAAGTACGGTGGTGGAGGGGGTGGGAATATTATCACCGAGTCACCTGGGAAAACACAGTATTTGGTTAAAGACAGGGGTAACAACTGGAGGGAAATCACCTGGAGCAAAGTAAACTGATTCTAACATTAGTTCCATCTCTATTCCAATAAGCATCCAAACAGCTGCGGTTCACACCAGAATTAAAAGTAGGCCTACCCGGTTTCTATGTAAAGCAGAACGGGTTCCTGGGCCTGGGACGAGGCTGGAGAGGGGAAGGGAAGGGGGTTTTCTGTTTGAGACGATGGAAACATCCTGCCAAAGGACAGGGATGACCGCTGTGTGGCACTGTGAATGTATTTAATGCCGCTGAGTCCTACACTTGAAAATGGTTACATGGAAAATGGTATGTTATGTATATTTTACTGCAAATTTTAAAAAGTGAATGCGTATTTCAGAGCCCAAGGGCTCCCCATCACAGTAGGGATGAGGCCTCGCTTTCCGGGCAAATGTGTATTAAAGCACTTGTGCGCTGCTTGCTAACACGCTCTCACCTTTCGAAGGAAATGTTTACTGCTGGCACAGCTCCCCTCGTGCGCACCTGATGGTTTTAATTAAAAGCCAGTTGCTGGGAAAAGGGTCAGTTCCACAAACATAGTTCCAGCCTCTGAACATGACAACAAGCCACACTCTGCCAGCCAGTGGTATCCACCGAAACTTACTCACACTACACAGATGAAGGTCAAACGCAAAGCAAAACCGGGTCTTTGTATTTCTGTTGCCACCTATGACACATCCTTGTGTTTTCAGGAGAAACTAGGGACCCAGATCTAACTCGTACTTCCATTCTAGTATGTTGGGATTCCATGCACTGCACCGGAGTCGTCCAGAACATTCTAGGTGTGCAGCGGCCCCACTACTGCAGGTTCAAGGAAGGCCTCTGCTACGCTGGCCACACCAGGAAGAATGGTAGGGGACAGAGAGCTTTATTTCCCTGTGGGGAGAAGACTGGTTGGTACCGGTGGCAAATTTGACAGGATTCTTTAAAGACACAGGTGTTCCATTTGTCAGGGACCAACCCAGCATGGACCTGAACAGCTCTCTGACCTCTCTGGGCCCCAGGTTCCACAGCTGTCACCAGCGCAGAACAGTGCCTGCCTCGGAGCACACAGGGAAGCACTACACTCCCCCTGGCTGTCTCTAGCCTGAAGCCTCAATCGTCTCCACAGATAACCCAGCCTTCCAGAAAATGCATTAACTCCAGCTCTCCTCATAGTCTGCAAGGAAATGGCAATTACAGCTTAAAATAAAGCTCTCTAATCTCAACTTGATAAAGCCCAAGGGCTCTGCTGGGACTCTCCTTTAAGCTGCTAGAAGGTCTCTGTAGGTCAGAGGAACCAGAGCTGCTGCAAGTTCACTTTAATTACACAAGACAGAATACAGGATGTGTGAAACTAGCCTCTAGGGCAGGCCATCACCTGTCAAAAACAAACAAGGAAGTGCTGGAGTGGCCCTGTTATCTCCAAGGGCAGCTATCCCTCGGCCCAATCCACAGGTGTTCACACCTTGCGGTCTCCTCTCCCCCAGGCTTCCCTTTTTACCATCCGCTTCAGAACCTGTGTGCTCTGAGCGGTGACACCACCCACCTCTGAGGGAGGCAGGAGGTCTCATACACCTGCTGGGCACGTCCGCTGTGGAGAGAGGACCCAAACACAGGAACTCTCTCCCACAACCCCTACAGGGAGAAGGGCGACAGTGGTGCTGTTTTCCAGATGTGGAGGGACACAAAGGGTTAAATGGAAAAGGTTCCGAATCCAGCCAGATGCAGGACACTGACACCTGCCCCACACCAGCCTGCTCTGCTCCCTTCCTGCACCAAATTCCAGCTACCAGGCGGGAGGCTGGGTTGCTAGCAAACCCAAGGGCTTCCTCCAAAGCTCCAACAGGTGAGCACCCCAGGAATGCACTGCTTTTCTCCCCCCCCCCCGTGCTCCCCCAGAGGGCTGAGGGAGAACATCTGCAGCACCGGGGGAGCCTTTTCCTCCTGTAATAAGCACTCAGCACGCCTGGGGAAGGATGCATTATAATCACGCCCCAGTGCCAGGGGAGGGTGCTGTGCATGGCTGCACTGGGTGCTGTCCACCCCCTGACTTTGGATGCTGCTCCGCCCTTGCTTGGCGACCTTGGGCCAGTTATTTGCTGTCTCCATCCCTCCCTCTCTTCACATCCAGCCTGAGGTACTAAGTCGGCCTCACTGGTCTACTGTAGATGTGACTAGTTTGGCACAGGGGGCCCGTGAAAACACCTGGAGGCGTTTGGCCCAGGAACAGACCCTCTGTAATGAAGATTTCTGCTGTCCCCATAAACATAAATGCATGAGGAAGTAAACCCGAGCGTCTGCTCTGACTCAAATCCAAGTGCCCTCCCCTCCAAGGCAGCCGCCACACCAGGCCAGCAGTGGCCCCTTCCCTCCATGCGGCAGTCAGCAGAAAGCCCCCGCCCAGGAACACATCACCTGTGACACTTCTCTGGACCTTCTACCACTGCTGCCCTGAGTCCTTTTAACCCAGCTTTTTTAATGCCAAGGCTGTGACAGCAGAGCTTTAGCCTTTCAATGAAGTAGATGAAGCTTCCCTGGGGGTGATGTCAAAGCCAGCCCTGGAGCTGGGGCAGGGCCTCTGGGAAACGGTAATCCACCCCTTCTGCAGGATACACAGGAATTTCCAGGCATTCCAGAGAAGAAAGAAGTGCTGAGGCACCTCACCTCAGTCTGGGCCACTGCTTCCAAACCTTCCCAACCCCACAGCCAAGGATGAAGTTACAGAAAATGAAGAACAGACTGGAAAGCAATGGAGAGGCCCCCATCCCCCCAAACCACTTGAAGACTGACTGACTTGGGACAGACTTGGACTCCAAGGACACTCATGCTGGAAAGAAATCAAAAAATTCAACGCTTATTTTCACAGACACATAAACTAAGGCAAGAGAGGTTAAGGATTTACCAGGGACGGTGAGCCAGGGATGGCCAGCATTGTCCCACAACAGAGTGCCACAGGCTTCAGTGTGAGCATGACAGGGAAATAGGGGTCACGCGGAGTGACAGAAGGCGCCAAGGCTGTGCTCATGGTTCTTCTCACTTCCCCCCTCCCAGTTTGCCTGTGACCTCACTCAAAGTCACTACTTACATGTCCCATTCCTTTTGTTAAATAACTGGGTTGCTGGGAGGAAATGACGTGCACAGAGATTCCCGTGGGGCTTCCTGGGACAACAGCACTATGTGTGCATGAAGGGTGTGGGGGGCACATGGGAGAGAGGAAGGGAGACAGAATACCTAGACCAGACCCGAGCCCAGCCCAGGGAAGGCCTGAAGCAACAGCTGCGCTGATATGAGCAAGTGGAAGAGTGAGTGCCACTCACCTACAGTGACCTGGACAGGCTCCGTGCCGGGGGTGTGTCCCTCTTCACTTTCAGAGGCATCCTGGCTTGTGCTCAAGTTGTTTTTCTTCTTTACATGGGCAACCACAAAGAAACACAGTCCCACTAGCACAACCAAAGGCCCCATGATCTGCAGGGAAAGGAGCCCACAGATCTGGGGTTCAGCATTGCTAGTGTCCGTCTCGTTCACCAGGTCCTGTGTCCAGCTTGAGCTACATCCAGGGACCCAAATGCCCAGGATGCTGATGAGCAGGCCACTTGTCAAGAACAGAAACCCAAAAATCAGGCACTGGGCAAACTGGCGGCTCTCTCCACAGAGGAAAGCTTGGTCAGAGCTGGCCTGGTCACCTCGCCATCTTCCTGCCAGCAGCTGAAGTCGCGCCCTGGAGCGGGCCAGGATCACAGCACCAAGCCCGACCACGGCACATGAGGGCCCAGCAATCTTCAGCACCATGCTGCAGTTGGGGAGAGGTTCGTGTTGGCAGGCTTGGTACCCAAAGACGGAGAGCAGGACTCCCACACACAGCAGGACGGCGCCGAAGACAAAGAGGAAGAAAACAAGCTTGCTGGCCCGCCTGTCCCACTGGTCCCCATCTGGCTCAGCAATGGCTGTGGAAGACATGACCAGAAAACGCTCCTTCCCCGAGGCGAGATGGGATGGGTTTCCTTCCCTCCAATGGGCTTCAGAGCTCTGCAAACAGAAACAAACGCCTCACTTAGGCAGGCACACGTGTTTCTGACCAGCCCAGTTCTTTTGCTGGCCATCTCAGTAATCACCCTACGATGAAATCATACACTGCAGAACAATGACCTGGTTTCTGAGTCAGAAGCACTGGCATTTAGAAACTTCTAAATGCGTAATTTTATGGAGATACTCAAAAAAGAGGAAATTTCAATTACCATGCGCCTGAGATAAAAGTATTGTAAAAAACAAAATAAAATAAAACTGGGCATGGCTTTTCCTGTTCAGGATTCTGACAAACTCACTTTCTCCAGGCAAAAATAAAACAATAGGGAAAGAAGGAAGAACCACAGGGGTTACTGTTTTGCCAAGCCCCATACTATATCGAAGCTGCTCTGAGCATTTCAGAGTCAGTAAATTTCTGTTCAGTTCCATTTCCTGCTTTAGACTTCTGCCGCTTTTCATTCCAGGCATTATTCTAAGGCTCCATCCACAGAAGACCCAAGTCAAGCAGTTTCAACGGAAGGGAAAGACAGTTCAAAAACACAGTATGCTTTTAAGTTAATTATATTAAAAATGTGATTTCCAGGCTCACACTGGGGCTGCCTGGACCCCAAACTCTCTCTCACTCTCCCCCTCCCTCTCCCCCTCTCCCTCTCCCCACACCTCTAGTGGCCCAGCTGCTAGGGCCCGGGATGACCCCAGAAAGCCAGTGGAGCCCCATCTCCAAGACAGCAAGCAGCTTAAAGCAGGTGATCCCTACTCTCCGACCTCCACGGTGCCTCCCACCTCCCCAGAGAGGTCACAGGACACCAGATGCAAAGCACTGAAAAGCAGCAGAACTTGACCCGGGAAGAGTACAAGTTGAACCAACTGGGAACGCCCGTTCCACAGAATCACCAGAGCCCTGTGCTGCAAGGGTGTTACATTTATATTCATCAAATAGTCAAGATCTATCTAGTTTACACAGCCCTGACTCTGTCTATCATCCAGTTATTGTAGATCTTTTAAGTGGGGCGCTCACAAAGACACACCAACTTGCGTAAAAAAAAAAAAACTTTTGAAAATATTTGTGCCTCCCCAGTCCACCATCACACACTGAGGAGATCAAGACTGAGCGCTAAGACCAAGACCATCTTGACAAACCAATACCGCGTGAGAGGAGGAAGGAAGGAAAGTCAGAGGAGGTAAAAAAGGCAGACAAGTGATCTTATCCCAGGAAGTACTTTTCCGGGAAAAGGGATGATAGAATCAGAAGGAAGTCAGGGAAAAAGGGAAATATAGGAGATAAATAAGCTTTCGCCTCACACTTGGAAAAGCCACGTTTTATGAAGATGCTATTAAGCTGAAGAAAGACTCAAAGTACTGCACTACTGTAAAAACTTTTCCCCCCTGAATCCTACACCCCTTTTGCTGGTTTGGGAGGTAAGGGTGATTCTCGGCTTCAAAGTCCTATCTGAAATTCACCGTATTCCTGGTATCTTAACTTTGCAGTGAGACATCAGACTTCAACTGTAGGAAGGCACAAACACTAATAAAATAAGTAGATGTCCAAATTGGATTCGTCCCTTCTTTTCCCTGGTCTATCGGAAAGAACACCTGACCCAAAGTGTTATGGGGTGGGGGCACCACCACCTCAAGCACTCACAAACGGACACACTGAGACAGCCACACTAATAGAAAATTAAACCGTGCACGAATACCCATCTAAACTTAATTTCCCCAAAGCCAAATTCCCCTCGCCAGAGCCACATTTTCAAAAGACATTCTAAATCAACAGCATCTCTCCAGGTCCAAAGTTCTGGTGGGTTTGGCGAGCCTGGTAAAGACAGACAAGGATCTTTAGCAGGGAAGAGTTCTGCGGTTTGGGGGCAGCCCCGCGGGGCTGGAAGCGCGTTCCCCGGACGCAGGCGGGGCGCAGGGCCCCAGGCACCCCAGCACCCCGCCGCCCCGGGCGCAGAAACCGCGGGCCGCGGCCGCTT